CATAAAATGTCATAAACAAAGTGACTAATGACTAAAATACTAAAGTGCGGTTTAACTTAAGAAATGGAGAAATAGTCGAGACCAGTGTATGATTCCTTAAGACAATAAACATCATTTTTTTAAAAAGCTTGATAGGAATCTGGTAGTCGTGTCACACCATAAAAATCTTCCAATTTACGCCTAGAGGAGGCTATTTAGCCGCCATAATGATTTGCAAAGATAGCTTGTCAGTCAAAGTTCTGGTTCATGAAAACTGATTGTCAGTTCCACGTGATGTTATCAGCTGTAATCAATCCGCCATTAATGTCGGGACGTTCGTTTTAGTTTGTTACTCATTTTAGGGCCGTGAATAAGTAGTATTTATTATGTAAACACCAATGAAATATCACGTGAGTTTTCGCACGAGAACATGAAAAGATCACGTTATGCTTACATAATCAATCTCGCCTTTCTCAGCAGTGCCTTCGACAGTGGCGCCTTTGCCAGAGTAATCACGACCCAATTTTAAGATGGCTGACGGATCTAACAAGAATCTAAATATTCAAGGTTCAATTCAATTCTAATTTTAATTCAGTTTAATTTGATACCAAATGCAGATTCAGTTATGTGTCCCAAGATAATGTTGAGGTAAATTTATTCAGATCTCAATTCAGCTCTTTAAAGACAATTGTGCTTAAAGAAAATGTAGGAGTAATCACCGCACTTGGGTTATCGTCGTGTTTGTAGAAATTATATCTTTCGATTTAAAGTATTTGAAAAATAAACATAAAAGTTATCTTGAAAATGTGGCCATTGTTTGCGTCAACTAACTACGATCTAAACAGAAATGAATACATAAAGGGGGTGAGTTTATTAAGAAGGAGGGAGGGGGGTCCAGAATCTCTCTACTCTTCCCTGTCTGAAACCAAAATTCTTCATATTACGACTCAACTTGGGAAAGTAAAAAAATTACTTATCTTGAAGTATTTCTCAGCTTTTTTAGGCTCTACTGTGAAACATTTTAAAAAAAACTTACAAATTAAAATTTGTGTCTTCTGAATCAAAGACTTGACCACACCCTCCCTCTTTCAAGAATTTCTGAATCGACCCCTACAGGGATATGGAGCTCGCATTTCTCTTTCATACAGCAGCAGGACTGAAATCTCTGCTAGCTCACCAATCTGTAAACAGGGTTATGGAGCTCGCATTTCTCTTTCATACAGCAGCAGGACTGAAATCTCTGCCAGCTCACCAATCTGTAAACAGGGTTATGGAGCTCGCATTTCTCTTTCATACAGCAGCAGGACTGAAATCTCTGCCAGCTCACCAATCTGTAAACAGGGTTATGGAGCTCGCATTTCTCTTTCATACAGCAGCAGGACTGAAATCTCTGCTAGCTCACCAATCTGTAAACTTGCAAAATTTGTTCCGCTTACTATTCCAGCCCACTGCCAAAAAAAAAAAAGTATTAGGCTCAAGTAAAGAGACCCTATAATCGGCAATGAAAGTGATTCACAACTGTGTCGTAACACGATTTAGCAAACTGTTTTGCGTAAGCACTTCACTTGAGAGCCTCATGCAAATATACACCAAATAACTCAGTTGTCCAGTTACTTGTTTCCTTCCTAATCGTTCAGGCGGTGCACGCGTTTTCATCCACAAATTTTCTTGAATGTGCCAATGATATTTCCTTCCGGTCTTTTCACAATAACTACAGAACAGTATTCTGCGGTATTAAAGCAGAAAACAGACCTTTTCTTCCAGCAAAAGGTGAATAAAGATAAATATAAAGGTGATAACAAAACACCTCCAAGCCCAGATAACAATTCACAGCTGCTCAATACCACAGCTGATCCTGTTTGGTAACATTTGGAAATTTTTCAAGCATGAAGGAAAACACGCGACGAAAGCTGAGTAAAGGACAGCTGCAAAAAAGTATAAATTTTGGAAAGAAATCTCGGAAAACAAAGAAACGAAGCTGAGGGAGCATTCATAACATTTCCGAGGTAAGTGGTAATAAATTCGTGTTTAAGGCCCTCTGTCCTTGTAACAAGTTTGTGTTTACCCGTTTCAGACAATTCAGATATTTTGTCTTCGGCACCACGATTCCTCCGCAGAGAAAACAAAGTTCCTCTGTTTATGAATAATAGCGGGATAAAAAAAGAAAACTTCCTCGTGTATTCTATCGTATTTCTTGCGATGTATCGATAATGAATTAGCACCTCTACAGTCAATTCAATTGGCCAGCAAGGGGGCGAATCTTTTAGACAGTTCGAGATTGGTTTTCTGATCAAGGATCTTGTGGATACTTGTACAATCTACATCGAAGAATAAATGGTGGTTTCTTTAGTAAGATAAGAATACTTTACTGGGAGAAACAGGGGCCATTGAGGAAGGCAAAGATTGATAGTTTCAGACGAAAACAAGGAATAAATGAAAGTTCTTGTTTAGATGACAATGTCTTCGTTAAGTTCAGACAAAGGCCAAACCTTAAAACTATGAAGGACAGACGTTTAAGATTCATAGCAGCAGAGTGAAAGGAAAAAGAAACCCTCTGACCGCAGGTTACTGGTTAAGTTCATTCTAAAGCGAAAACTTTTCAGAGTCATCAGGAATGTCCCACGTTGGTAGACAATAGAAGGAACATGGCTCAAAATAACTTGTAATCCTAGGAGAATGCAAATCCAGCTTCCTGATTTTATTAGTATATCCAGGTTATCAGCAAATATAACATAACTTAGCCTTGTACAGAAATCTGTTTTACCAAGCGTCGCCAAAAAAAGATATTGTAAAGTGGACAGTAAACTTTCCTTCCGAAAAACAGAAGAGCAAATGTCAAACTGTCTGGAAAGGCCATTTCATTCCATTTGAACTGCAAAATCCCCAAAGCTCTGAATTACACTTTTCAGGTACATCTGAGGATCTCTTTAAAGTTACACCTACTTCGCTACGACTTTACGATTAAGGTCTCACAGAAGCGATAATGGCACGTTTACTTTCAAATATTTCAGAAGGCTTAAATATCATAGTGGAAACATATACCAGGTACTCAAAACTGAAAGAAGCTGTGTCGAAGAGGGAGTTTGACACTTGCGTTTGTTACCCACTGACTTTTATGGCAAAGTAAAACTTTGATAAGTTCATACGAACCATGCACGAATCATGCACTCTGGATCGCTTGTTTTGCTTGGGACCACACAAAAAGGGGAAAAAGATCCTTAATGTACACATCTCTGTATGACTTGACCTTTTCAAGCTGAATCTCGCACACTTGAAGTTTCTTCGAGTGTTTTTGTGCATCAGCTAGGAATTCAGTTCCGCAAAAGTTCACAGCACAATACCTCGCTGCCTCCGCCGTGGACCACACAGTAAACATGCACAACTGTTACACTTCCCGATTTCCTTGAACTTTACGATACTTTTTGCATTTCGTATACTCTCGTTTCCGTCTACAACCGAAAATAATTTTGGTGGAATCGAAACATCCCAGAAAAAGTTCAGATTGTCCCCCTCTCTCTCCCCCTCAATTTCTCTTAACTACCCAAACATCGCTACGCATACTCTCCCTTCTGTTCTTCAGACACTTCCAATGGTACTAACACGAAGAATTTGTTCAGCAATAAAAAGATTCTTTGTTTGGCGGTCATTACCTTTACTCTCATGACCTCAATATTGACTTCAGCAGCGATAATGCAAGGAGAAATTTTATGTTACTCATTTGTAGAGATTAATTAAAGGGTTAATACTAATTTCTCTTCGGCCATTTCTTCATTTAACAGCCCACAAGAAAAGAACAAAAATTAACACAATGAAGAGTTCCCTCCTTCTTCTGGTAGCCGTACTGTCGATCATTATTTTAACAACGTTGACAGAAGTAGTCAGCGCAAAGTGCGGTCTCAGTTCAGGGAAAAGGATAAAAAAATGCCACAGAACAAACAACAAGAGGAAATCCAAAGTCCAAGGAAAAGGAAAGAGCACACAAAGAGGACCAGAGAAGGACGCGATACAGCAGAAGCGGTTTGGTCAGCCAGTCTGAACACAAACTTTTACCTCAGAATCAAGTCTAAACGAGACGGATAAATTGTTTGGTAACTTGAAAGTTGTGACGTTGATGTCGCTCTAATACTTTTTCGCTTTCATAAAAATCGATACCCTTAACTAGTCAGCTGGGTTTCCACTGTCGCATTTTTGTCCACGCACGCTAACGTGCGTTAAAAAACACACACGTTCAAATGAACATTTACGCGCGTAAACGCATCCGTGGACTAAACGTTGTCGTATTTCCAATTTCACACTTCCACGTGTCTGTCCTTTTCGCTCGTAAAAAAGGCGATTTCGTGGGATGTGTTGGCTTCTGAGCGTTGCAGTAGAAGGAACTATTCAGTTACTGTAAACTACCATGACTAGTCAGTTAAATCAGCCGAAGAAATCACAGTAGAAAATTTTAGTGTTGAAGAAACCGTGACTGTTTGGAATTAAAAATTGCGAAGAGTGACAGCTATAAAACCTTTGGATTTTTCTGAAACAAACTGTAACTCGACCTTTTCTCGTCGCTTTTTTCATCCCTTTTTTCATCCCTCCAAAGAGCAACAGCTCGGTAAAAACAATTTCCATTTCGCTGACAACTTCTCCCCTTTGTGGACGTATATTTTCAACCGCCGTAATTTGCTTATCAAAAACGCTAATAAGTACGAAAAAAAGCTGTACACAATTAAATAAAACTAATTAAATAAAACTAATAAGGCAGTACTGAGTCTTTTTTCGCTATTTGTGGAATGTCAATTTCTAAGAGAATATGAACTAGTGATATTCTCTTCCAATTTCACAATACACCTCATGCAAGGTGAGAGGTTAATCGTTGGAATTTATAACATATTTCATAGTTAATCACACAACAAAGTACGCCCCGTACCAACATTACTTAAATCCATTTTTTATAAAATGGCGGAGAAAAAGCGATGATCTCACAAAAATCGTGTATTTTTACGTCGAAAAAACCTTGTGCAATCACAAGGATCCAATTACTGGCAACTAGTTTATTGCCAAGAGATTGGGAAGTGTCGAACATTTAACGCATTTCAAGAATTAATTAAATTTGTCGATTTGCATCGACGATAACAAAGGAACGCCGAGCAAACCTTACCGTGGGCCTGCCACTGGCATCCCACGGAATAAACAGACGAATCAAGAACGTGGGGGACGCACTGATAAAGGATGGAGAGGCGAAATACCCGAAAAAAAAGGCCAAATTTCGATCAGACAGTAGATTACAAATAAAAGGCAGTCTATGACTGCATGTGCCTACTGTAGTTAGTTTAATAAACAGCAGTTGTCGATGCCAAACTTGTGACAAAAGGAGGACTTGGTTAGAGCAGAGTTTATATACTGGTCAACTGACAGGCCGAGGACAGGGCAGGAAATTTATAGAAGAGGTCTTTGATTCAGCAATGTGCATAAAATTCGTTTCAATACAAAACTCCGCCACTTCGTACGCTCTGCGTACCTGGCGCTCTTGATAGACCTACTCTAGTGCGAAAGCTGAGTTTAAGGTTGGAGCCCTTTCTTTTTTAGAGATATGTTAGAGTTCAGAGTTAACGCACATGTGCGAACGTTTCCCGAAGTAGCTCTTACATTGAAATCGATGACAAAATGCAGAGTTGAGGCCCTAACGAAGTCAAGAAAAACAAATATGAATTTAAAGAAACCCGATCAGATTCGAGTAAGGATGAAGGCTCAGTAGGCACAAAAAGTGAGACTGCAGACAAAAGATGAACGCAGATGGGTAAAAACGGACGGACGGACGGACGCACAGCATGTCGGTCAGACGAACAGTTGAGCAGACAGGAAAAAAAAAAACAACCCAAACGACCACCATGCTCAGGTGATTCTCTTCATAAAGGCAATTCTTCAAAGGAAGTGTAGTCCTTCTACGTCACGATTTGGAAAGTATTTCATTATTATATTATTTGTCTTAACGGCGAATCCTATGTGTTTGGTGTCGCTACAAGAACCGCATTTTCCAACGAGACGCTGGAATCGACGTAGAACGCCAGTCTAGCATTGAATTCACGCGACTCCAGATACCACAGACGCCCAGTATCTAGGAGTCGTTTACACTGCAGACCTATTTCTTCTCTCTCAGGTATCGTGTAATTTGACCATCTGAAAGGAAAACAAAATTGTTTAGAGTCTTATTTGAGGCTTGCGCAATAGAATTCTTTCAGCCTGGATTGATATTCAAACGTCACCTGTTAAAATGGTGGAGAAATCACACAGAGCCAAACGTTTTGCCGCCAAAAAACAATAAAATCTGTAAAATAATTTTACCAACGTGATAATAGAAAATCGCATTCACGATAAAATTTATGTAAATTATCACTGAAACATCTGATGACACTTACACCGCTTTACTCGAAAACTTTTGCAAAACAAAGTGTACAGTACTCTAAGCGAACGCGACTCTGATCGTTTCACAAGAACGCAAATCGGAAGTAGAAGAATAATTTTTACTATGTAGAGGTACAGAAAGACAGTGAGCCAATCGAAAAGGTGAAAAATGGAGGTTACACTTAGTTGAGTGCCCCAACCAGCCAAAACTTATTTCAGTTTCTGCATGAAGCGACTAGGAGTATTGTAATTCCACCTGGATGGAATGGTTTCCTTCCGCCCTCCCCACCCCTCCTCGCAATTCGTCAGGCCTCCCTAACAGTTCGTCGGTATCTGCTTACACAGGAGGAAGGCACTGTGAGAGTAAAGTGTTCTGCCCCAAAGCTCAACACAATGACCTGGCCAGATCTCGTACCCAGACCTCTCGACCCGAGGTTCAGCGCGCTACCCGTCAGGCCACCGCTTCTGCCAAAACGCTCTGTAAGTCGACCGCAAATCATTTGAACCCTGACTGACCACAATGGGTTGCTTTGTATTTAAGAGAGACATATACGGAAAAACAACCGTCAATGTGCAACGGCACGCCATAAAACAACCAAATACCTGCGCTAGCTGCCCCTTGTAAACTATTTAAAAAAATCGCTCACTTAGCGAAAATAGACCTCGCACAGATCTTGAGTGATTCGCTACAAGCCCGGATTGCAACTGCTTCTTTAAACATTCGAACCAAGTAAAACCCATGTCAAAGGCTTCATTCATGATTTTATCGAACTGACTTACGAATCCGTTGGCGACTCGGATTTTCGCTTTTGCGCTTGTGATTCTGTAGTCGACAATTCAAATCTTTGGGAAGTAGGAATAGTTACTTAGTACCTGTCTTCCTCACAGGCCTCTTTAATTTCCTTGCTGTCTTCATCGTTTTTTGAAAGAAATTCTTGTGAAGCAATGTTTTCTGTTGAAATTTCATGGCAGTCATCTCCCCCTCGGTCGTCATTCTCTGTGGAAAGAGACAGATAAAAATTTAAGTCCCAATGGAGAATGCCATCCGCTTTTGACCGCAGCTTGATCGGAACTTCGCACCGAGCTCTTCCCCTCGGTCTGTAATGTACGCTGCAGATCCTTTTTACTCGTCACGGATCTCCGAGGATCCGTAACCTTCAGTGCAGAACTACCAGATATTTATGATACATTTTCTAAGTGTCTGACAAGTGATTCAAATGATTGACGCACGTACAAAAGAAAATCGAGTTGTATAGAAACTGTCATTCATTCGTGAGAAAATTTTGAAAAAATTGAAAATAAAAAGCATCTTAATCATCATTTGACGACAAAACTTAAAAATAGGTGATAAATAACAAGTCATTTTGGTAACAAAGACAACGCTAAATTTAAGCCGACCGCGTATCATATTGAGGCAAAAAACGTGATATTTTCCAATTTTTTATCTGTTTGAGTTATAATATATAAAGGGGTGCGACATGGAATGCAATAAATATGCATAAATTTTTGGAATCCAAATATTAGTTGGAAGGAGTAATCATTTGTGGTGTTAAATCTGCAGTTTGTTTTTCTTCGGCGAACATTTTTTTTTTTTTTTTTGGCGTATTCAGAACCATATGCAAGTTATTTTCATGCCACGCGGTAGTTAAAAACAATAAAATTCGCAAATACTTATTGACAAGCCAACGAAATTAGCTGATCGTCACCTGTTCTTTCATCAGTCCGCCCAGCAATTCCCCTTCGGCGTTCCCTAAGCCTCATGCCACAGGTTGCCCAGCTACTAAGGCAACACAGCAGATGAAAATCTTCTGCAGTAAAGCCAAGATTCTGAAGAAACGGTCTACCAACATACTGAGGCCAGGAACAGCAATGGTGACAACACAGGGCCAATATCACTCCCTTCACTGGCCGTTCATTGGGGTCTAGCTTTATCCTCTTGTCTTCCCTAGAGGAAGAAGAATCTTTTAAGTATGTCTTCATCATTTGAGGTTACAAGCACGGTAAGTCACATTACAGTTGAACCCCGGTAACTCGAATTGTCAAAGGGTATTGAAGTTACTTCGAGTTATAGGGGTTTTGAACAAAAAGAGTAGAAACACTTGATTAAAGAGATTTTATGCTTTTAAATGTTTTATTGCAAAAAGAGCATAACAACGACAAAACAAAACAAAAGAATGTAATAACAAATAACAGATCGATTCCAGATTGCGCGCCATCATTTCTTTTCTCCGGAAAGAACTGTCAAAACTATTTGTTTACGGAACAGACAAACGTGTGATATCGACAAAGGTCAATTTGTCATAATATATAAATGAGATTAAATGTAATCTTCCGGTGCAAAATGTTACGGCTCATGAGTGAAAATCGACGTCGAGTTACAGAGGGTAAAATTACAAAGAAAAGTACCTGAAGGGAAGTAAAAATCGTTTCGAGTTAGAGGGGTTTTAAGTTATCTGGGTTTCGAGTTCTAAGGGTTAAAATTACAGTAAATATATGGGGCAAATCCAAGGGAAATCAGTTTTGCTTCGAGGTAGCGGGAATTTCGAGTCACCGAGGGATCGAGTTATCGGGGTTAAAACAAACCATTCAGAAACTACGTTTTACTTTATATTACTCCGATAATTTTCAGTGCAATGTAGCCGGAATTGCGATCACACAGCACTGATAAATAGTCCTACAATTCTCCAACTAAATAATCCAACATGGAAAGGCAACGATTTTTGAGTTAAAAAAAAAACTGAACAACAAACTTGAAAAACTAAAGAATTGTAACAATTTTAAAAATTGTTGATAACACAACACCAACCTACTACGTGTCTTATCCGCACCATTTTCTAAACAGATGTCATCAACTGATTGCTTCTGAGTGTTATCTAACGTTTCTACCAAGCAACGGATGGTCAAGTCTGCCAATAAAAATATCACTGTCATTCTTCGTTTGTCGATTAGTAAAAAAAAAAAAACATTTTTTAACGGACAAGTTAACTAAATCTTTTACAAGTAAAGTTTTAAGGCAAAAAATAGGTTGAACAACGTAGATTGTAACTGTTTCCTTTACGTTTTTTGCGTTGAATAACTTAGTCGTAACGAACAATCCTCAGACCACTAATCTGAAATATTTGGTAACACGGAACACTGTATGATTGAGTTTCGGAAAATCAAAACCAAAGTAATTGTTCTCGATTGTAGAACAGTTGAATGACCGGGAAGACGTCGTCAAAGTAATTTATTTCGAGCTCAAAACATAACAAAACCAATATGGCCGCGGCCGGAAAAAAGGGTACCGAAGCCCACGGTCCTCAGCGGCAAAAACTCAAAAGGGCGGGAAAACGAGTGGTAATTGAACAAATCCTTCTCTAACAGTAATCAATCAGAACAAAGGTACAATCACAAGAAGCCAATGCAAACTCCAGGTGAAGGCAAAAAAGGTATAAAACGCGGGATTAAAACGCGATTTTGATTGGCTGTGAGGGTAGCGCGTGGTTTCTGGACCAGTCAGGAAGAGTGGTAAAACGCAGATTATTTTCGACAACTGAAGATCAAAATGTGAACAAGACCAAACACCACTTCACTGATAAATAAATAACGCACTGCATTCTCGAGTCATTATTTGGAGAAAGGGGAAAGTTTATTAAGAATCTGTGGTGCTGTGTCAGTGGAGTGTTTCAAGATAAAAGGCTTTTACCAACTGATTGCCCACCGTAAACAGTTTCTAAATCTGACGTTCCCAGCGTTAGCCCTTCGTTATTTGGACACCCTAATAACATAATCGAGTCGTCAAAATAGTTCCGAAAAGTCAATCAGAACTCAGAACTTCTGCTGGAAAGATCGAATTAGAAAAAAATACACCCTTTTTATTCAGAAGTCAAAATGACAAAATGCACAGTCCTTAATATAGTTACGTTATTACACAGTCCTTAGCATAGTCCTTGACATTGTTACGTTATTACAAATCGTACCAGTAGCAGCCCCACAAAGGTGTTTGCTGACAGCAACAACTCTCCGCTTACTATATTGAATACATGGCACCTTGCCTGAAACAAAAGGGGAAGAAAGCATATCGGTGAGAAACTTCTCTGCCTACATTTTCAGACAGGGTTACCCGAAAACACATCAGATGCAGTGTGATAAAAACTTATAAGTGCAACACAATGCTTAATATTTCGCATTTCGATTGAATGTCAAAGAACCAAAACCAAAGTCATCACTACGGCCAATCAGAGAAAAGGAAAATATTCCGGGCCAATGACAATTCAATGTAAGAACAAGGGAATTGACTTAAGCGCGGTAAAAACGTGAGTAATCGCGTCGCGATTGGTTTTGGTTCTGTCTGATTGATTGCGAAAGTGGCGGGAGTTTTTCAGGACCAATCACCTTGCGAAGATACGCAAAACCAACGCAATCCCGAATCACTTTCGACACCCGAGTGAAAATACAGTGCGATCTCGATTTATCGAAGTGCCAATGGACTGAGGAAATTGGTTCGTTGTATCGAGTGTTCGTTATATCGAGGATCTGTGGCCTACATTTTACTGTAACTTTAGCCGGGCTGAAAAGTATTGTACGTTATACCGAGGACTTCGTTATAAAGAGGTTCGTTAGATCGAGGTTCCACTGTCTCTTCTTACTCTTACTTAAATCAAGGTGTCTAATGTCCAGGTTTAATCGCTGGAAAGACGGTCCCTGGTCCTCTCCTCGATGATAACGGTCATACTGAAAATACAAAACATCAACAAAGTTACATGTCAGTGAGGCACAGTTTTTATACAATACTAACTCGCAAAGCTGAAGGAAGGGAGTAAGTTTCTAAAGAAACTGTGGTGCTGCGTCGGTGGGAATAACAAGGAAATTTTGGGTATTATCAACTGATTTTATAATGCAAATTGGCCACCAAAAACAGGTTTCTACACATTCTGTCTTTGTTCACTCTTGGTAGTAAGGGATAAGTGGCTGCCGATGGCGTTAGAAGCGGCTACGCCATAAGGCGCAACCGCTTAAACGACAGCCTGCTCGCAGGCTCAAGAGACGGTGGTGAGAGGTTATACAAGTGGCGGTAACCCGTCGGTGATCAGCTTTCAATGAAACCCTGTTTACACTAAAGCAATTAAACCTTTCCCTCTCGATTTATATGCAATATAGTTGTTGATTCGAGCTTGACCTTCGTCAACTATCATGCGATAGATTTCTGCTCCAGCTCACAATCTTATTGCTAATAATACCGTTGGAAAGGATTGTACAACTGTTTACTGTACACGTGTTTGTAAAAAGAGATACAAGTACAGGATGTAACAACATACCTTATATCTATTACTTGCTCTGTCAATAAGGAGATAGTCCACATCCTTTGCAGCACTCCCCACAGCCAGCTGAAGCCAATGAGACAACTTTCCTACAGAGGGATTACCAAGACTGGTAAATCTTCTTGTACCCTACCTTTTTCTGGATTAATTGTAGTAAAAAAAATGATGAAATCTCTCTAATCTAAAATTGTGAACTGCCTGTTATTAGATCCAGAATTTAAATCACCCATTGTTCCCACTCCTCTCAAAGTGTTCATGATACAAAAAGTCTCATTTTTGTGTCTGTTCAAAAATCATTTGCTCCTCAAGATTCAACCTGTTCAACCCTTTAGAGTGATTTACATCTACCTTCTCATATTTTTGCTCCTTAATTACGTGTTAGGGTCACAAGAATGAGGAGAAATTGATCAGCAGCAAAAGAAGCTGTGAATTGTTAAACAGTTTTTTCTCCTCTGCACCTCAGGAAAAGTGAGAAGAACAAACATAAACTCACCTCTACCAGCTCCAAATTCCAAGAATATTGTCCTGGGTTCTAAGAGATGTAGCTTGTCCATATGACCAATAAGAGATGCCTGATCAGAAGTTATGGCAAAAATAAAAGTCATAAGGTTAGATGAGGGAGAAAGATTGAGGTTTATAGTTATGTTATTTTGTTTGTTTGTTTGTTACACTGTAGACTGTAGACTGTACTTATTAAGAAAACATTGCAGTTAATGAAAACTGAATTGCATCTCTTTACAAGTAAGAAATAAGAAATTATCCATAACTACTACTATAATAATAAAATTACAAAGAAAACTACTCTTAAAAATCACTTAAATGCTTCCCTCGCACTCTTAACAACTCTTACACCTTAGGAAATCTATGGAAAGTAGTACAGAGAACATACATACTGATGTAAGGGGGCAGAGGGTTAAAAAAGAACTTTAAAAGCATTTTTTCCTGTGTATCTCAGTTCTGTTCAACTCTTACAGTTCTGTTCAACTCTTCCAGTTCCCAGATGCCTTTAACAAGTAACTTCTCCTTGCAATTTCCAGAAAATATCTTGCAAACAGGTGATGAAAAAAGTTAAGCTTATCAGCTAATTAAAAGGATGTAATCTTGATATAACACCCAATTCTCATCACAATTAAAAGGAAATGTATGGCAAAAGTTGGGGAGAATTATTAGACAGATCTTGGAATTCAAAAGGTCTGACTAGTAACAAAAGTTAGTTAGTTTGTTTATTATAATTAGTGTTTATTATTATTATTATTATTATTATTATTATTATTATTTTTATAGTCAAGAACATTACAAGCAAATTTACACAACCCGCATATAGCATTAGCTAGTCTTGGCTGGTATTAGTAATAAATAAATAAGTAAATACTACACATATAAGCTAAAGAAGTTTCATTACCACAATAAACTAAAGAGATTTTACAGTAAAACTAATTTTCATTACTACAATAAACTAAAGAGAGTTTAGTTTTGAGGGCTTGAAAAATGAACTTAAAAATCTTTGTCTTCAGAGGTTTTAAATTGTTAGGTAGGCAGGTAGGTATAAAAAGTAGCTACATTAGACAATCAGTCAGTTGTTTCATTATATTGTACAAAGAAATGCAACTACCTGTTGTTTCAAATGTTTCAAAACAGCCGGATTGTCCACCATTTCTGTAACTTCTTCTTGAAATACATTATGAAATAGGACTTCCTCAGGGATTTGAGGAACATGAGCTGTATGTAAAACAAAATCACATTCCAAATTATCTTTATCTCTGATAAAACATGGAGAAATCTTAGAGCATTTTACTTTGTGGACTTGCCACAATTTGTTCCAAGGCATGGACTGAAGACAGGCACTCCATTAAAAGAATATCGCGGCAACTTCCTCATGGTCTGTCAATGAGTATGTAGTTGAGTAACAAACAAACAAAAAACATTATGAATTAACCTCAAGGGGGAAATAAGCTTTAACAACATTGATAAGCCACAAATTGCAGACCTTCCAACCAATGTCATGTAGTCATTTTTCCCTCTCACTGTGGACCACTGAATAATTAATCAACACGTATATTTTGAATTGCATAACTCTGAATCTAAGACATACAGTGCACCTAGGACATAGACTGAAACTAAGATTTTCATGAAAAGTACCTTTATAACATTCTTTAACTTTGCTGATTAACCTTGAAACTTTCTCTTGACAAACAGAACTTAATGAAACCTATAAAGGGATAAATTGCCTAAATGATGTAAGTTCTCAATAACACCACACTTCAAATTGTACTTTTTAAGACCCTTGTGAATATATTTAACAAACTTAAGACTTCATTTAACCAGTTGTTGTTGACTCTCTAGGGTTCCAAGTGAAACCTTCTTTGTAGCCATCCCACAAGCCCACACAGGCTGTTGTTTTATAATTGGCAAGAACTAGGATCAGCCAAGCTGGAAGTGTCCAAAGAGAATTCTTAATCTGCATTCTTAAGCTGTGGATGTTTTGTTAACCTCTCATATCCACACTAAATATTTTAGCCTCAATGGATTCGGATAGCCTATGTGAGTGTCATTGATGATACCACTCAATTTTTTTTTTTTTTTTTGCCAAATCAAGAGATAGTCAAAGACAAGGATCTGAAAGCGTACACAATAAGTAAGTCAGTTAAAGCTTCAAACTGTAAAATCTGACTTTTGTGTAGAACATGCCTTTTCTGCTGCAGAGAATTCATAGTCTGGTATACCAGAGTTGATATTAGAACTGTAGTAGACCTAATACACACAAAAAAAAAAACAAAAAAAAACAAAGAGTGATATAATGTACATTAATTAAAACTCCTGTCATCTTCCAGGTTTTTGTCCCTTCTCACAGCTTGCTATTTTCATGCATAGTTGTTTGTTTATTTGTTCTTGCACAGAAACAATGTAGGATGATTTAGTTGGTCCAATGTGGGAAAGATTGCAAATTTGTTGCATAGTATAATAGACTGCATATGGGAATAAACACTTAAACCTTTTACACACTTAACATCATTATCAATATTCTCCAAACTGTTCTTTAACAACTGCATCATTACGTGGAAGTGCCCAAAACATCCAGGAGCTTCCACTGTTGGCAGCCAGCTCCTAGATGGAGACTTTTTCCATGGCTGGCAAATCCTGGCAACCCAGCCATAAGCCCCCACAAAGGAAAAGGAAACAGGCACCCATTACACTGAATAAACAGTGAAAAGAGGGAGGGAATGGGTGGGGAAAACTGCCTAGGAACACTGCAATTTGTACACACTTAAAGCACGTGCAAGAACGCCTCAAATGAAGAGCACACAAAACTCTGACACGTGTGCATGTGCAAAAAATACCACTGACTACTAAAGAACACTGACATTCTTTGTTAAATTGCATTTAACCACATCTATACATTTCCTAAGGTGCTGACAAGGAGGATCTTTCTTTTTAACAATCAATAGCTTCTTTGGTAGGTTGATTATTTCTCATGACGTTTCGATGTGTTACTAAGGGGGATGTTGTAACGAGAGTTTACATGTTCATCATCCTTAGGGATCAAAGGATCAACCAGAACAGGAAGACGCAAGAAAGATCAAAACTACCAAATAAACCATTTCAAAAAAAAAAAAAAAACATAATTCCACCTCACAATTCAGGGCTCGAAATTAAAAGAAAAGTTCAGTCACCATTTTGCGACTTGATACGTAAATATAGTCGCAAGTTCATGAATTTTAGTCGCAAAAGTCCAGCGGTTTAACAAACAAAAATATGAGCCTGCAATACATATGAATAAGAGACCACTGCAATGGCAGCCAATCAAGGTAATGGCATTGCGTGCACAACATTGCGAATAAATTAGGTACAATTTTACCCTATATCTTCAAATGTCTATGATAATCAAGGCACACGACAATATATTTTTTCATTTCTTTACTTTTTTGGCAAAAATAGTGGCAAAGTAGCCACTGCTGGCTTTTTCATTCTACTCGCAAATTTGTGACTCCTCTGGAAGTTTTACTCGCAAACATAAAAATTATGCAACTATATTGGTCGCAATTTCGAGCCCTGCAATTGCTTGTGTTCCTCTGCATATTGTCTTTAATCTTACTTAGCCTCTCTCTCAAAACCTAACTGCATTGAGAAAAAAAGTATGAATATTTTTTTTTGTTAACCCATAACTTTTCTTACTTACCACTTGAGTTTTCTTTGTTTGATTGCATTTCTTGAGGTGATTCTTAAGCTGGTCTTCAAACACGGTACTATGAATTTAACAACAGATTTTAAATTTAAGAATTCATTAGCTAAATGAAATTTATCAAGTACAAAAAGCAGCTAAGAAATTACCAGGAAATTCTTTAAAAAATTTAAGTCTCCCACTATTTATCTCCAGATAAGGTTTATAATAAATTTATTATTTATCTTGTCAACTACGCATTTACCAGGGTTTCTGTAAAAGCTGGTTACCAGCAGTCTACCATCATCTGTTTAGTCTCCCACTATTTATCTCCAGATAAGGTTTAACATAAATTTATTATTTATCTTGTCAACTACACATTTACCAGGGTTTCTGGTAAAAGCTGGTTACCAGCAGTCTACCATCATCTGTTTGGCTTGCAAGCAGGTGTTTGTGTTTATGTTTGGGATAACAGCCCCTCTATCAGACATAGCCACCTATTAAACTATTGGCAGCCACTAATGAAAAAAGTTATTGAGTCCCCTGTAGTTAACACTTTAATTTCCTTAAAGTACATCTCTATCTTTTGGGGATAAATGAGTGCCAGTAAACTGTTAGGAAAACCTGACAAAATACTGAGCCATAACTTGCAACGGTCCAGTGTCGATCCATCCATAGAAGTGCCCATACTCCTTTCTACTTCACACCGTCTAACTGTGGTCAGCCTTAGCAGGATGAGATGATAAGCTCATAAACTAACGTGACCTTTTTCCCCGCTTCATTTTGGTAAAGAACAAAAGCTTATCTATCATTAATATTCTTACTGTTTCCCATCCAGAGGACAAGTGATCCTTTTTCGTCCAACACCCTGTTGAAGGAGGAACCAAAAAAGGGATTTTTTTCATCTTTCTCCAAAGACTTGGAACACACAAATAAAACAGAATCCATATGGTTTGCAAAAGTTTCGTTCGTTAAAAAAATTTATTTCTGATTTAGGAAAAACTTAGGATGCCATCGCATTCTACAACATTTAAACTTGCGCAATTAAAGCTTACTTTAGATTCTTCATCAAAAATCCTATGCTCTCCGCAATATTTGCTTCCACCTGAAACTGTCATTCGGCAAAAACGATTTTTTCGTTTCAAAAAGAAGGCACAAGTGATACGTTCCCTCTGCACCTCTTCCGCCATCTTGGATATTTACGACCCTGTGCGCTAAACTATCCAACCGCTGGCCTAACAAAATGTGTGACCACTTTGTGCCTGCTTTCATAATTGCTTTTCGCTCCTTATACCCTAACAACGTAACATCAGAATGCATATTCTCCCTACTGTTCTCTACACTTTTCATTTGATACTGACGAGGAGAATTTATTCACCAATCAAAAGCTTCTTGAGTTGACGATCATTTCCTTAATTCTCATGAACTTACTGTTTGACTCAGCAGTGAGAGTGTCAGGAGGAATTAGAAGCCGGTCACTCTGATCTTAAAGCGAAAACGAAGCTGATTAATCAAAAATATTTCCTGACAATAATCTAGCATACTCGCGGTTTCACGTTACAGATCGTTGAACAGTTATATGCGATATTACAGTTACCTGAATTTTGGTGTCAGACAAGAATAGCAAAAACCTACTGGTCTAATGGAAAGGGAGGAAGGGAGGGGAGGCTGGGGGGGTTCAGACCCTCCGGCGGACCCTTCCTCTGGGTTTTTCGTAGCGTCACTCACCACAGTCGTCTCTAAACAGCTACCGCCAAATAATCGCCAGCCGAAGTGAAACGAGTAGCTTACTACAAAAGATGCAAAACAAAGTAAACAAAGAGTGATGTTTATGGTATATGGTATTCACCATGAGCCGGAAGTCTCTTTTTCGAACGCATGGGGTACTCTATATAACGGACTGGTTCAAGGTGTATGGTTAAGAACGGATTTTTACGCTATGAAAAATGATAAGGAATGAGGGATATATCACATCCTACCTTATCCAACTTGCTGACTGAGTCAATTTTGTGATTTTTGAATTTTGCTTAAGTCACAAACATGCCGCGGACGAAACAATAAAAGATTCAGCGAAAATTCGCCGCGCAAAAATCACTAGCCAGTCTTAATGAAGGAAGTGTTGTTCTCCTTCCTCGGCTAACTCTATTTAAATACAATACGCGCCCAAAATTCTGGTAAAAGCAATCATGTTTTTGTTATTTGAAAAAGAATAACTAAGAATTGATTCAGCAAGAAAATGATTATTTCAGAATACTTCTCATGTTCTTCACGTTGGGGAGTTCTTAGCTAAAACATCCAAGACATTCCTTCCTTCTTGGCGCGACTCCGCTTTGCAGCTCGGTAAATTACCACCTCCACTTCGATAAATAAATTTTAATCATTCTATTATTGAGCCAAAACAGGTATCACTGATTTCTGTTATAAAGAGTAACGATGGACTGAGCGTGAAAAAAAAATAATAACAGCTTCAATTTCGACTTTCCAAAATATATAATTAGCATAGACAACACAGGTGAATAGCGCGTTTCGCGCGCTGATTGGTCAGTTTGGAAGTGATTGTCAAGTACTATTCATCTCCGAGCGGCTGAGGAGACAAAATCGCTTGTCAACAGTTTAACTTCCGGTCATATTTCGGTATATCGACAGAAATAAACTAACATAATGAAAGGACGCGTTTTCTAAATGGATATTTTCCGAAAAAAAAAAGAAAAAAACGAGGAAGAAAAACCAACTTAGGAAGAACCGCAATAATCGAAATTTAATGACTTAACGACTCTAAAAGCCATTATTTACAAATCATGTCTTATCATAGCAGATGTCAACGTTGAATGTACATATCTGAATGATAAGTACTTGAGGAAAAACACAACATGCAAACGATTGTTCATTGATCTTGGTAAAAACATCCAAATTATAAATATAGCTTTCGGCCTCCTTAACACGAACTGCAATCAGCAACTATCTATCGTATCTCGATCCTATATCTTTAATTTCCTCTTCTGATCTTGGTTTATTTTACATTTGGAACAAATTTTTCATGTTGCACTTAACAAAACTTTTTAAACAAGAAAACACATTTCTTTTTAATTTTAATTTATGCCTAAAGTGTTGTTCTATTTTTGCATCAAAAGTTTCTCATCCTTCCTTGTCCTTGACCAAACATAAAACTACAAACTCCGAAGCTATTTTTTTTTTTATATATATATATATATATATCTCAACAAAACAATTTTTACTAATCATTAATCTGTCGATAGCGTTTACTTTGCAGTTAAAACTTATGATTTGGTTCATTTAGCCTGTGCAACCTGGCCTGCTGCACTCGCCAGCTGATGAGGCTTGAAAACCTAACGAATTTACACATCAAGTTTCTCCGAGAGAAGCTAAACTTACCGTCTGTTTTCTTCTCTATTTATCATATCTACCAATTAAAAGAAACGATTCGTTTCTTCGCAGGTTCACTGAAAATAGTTCCTTTTTTGTAATGAAGGGATTCAATTTTTAAACGGAATTAAGTATTTGGCATAAATTGTATCGCGTTCGTCTATTAACACGGAAATAAATAAATAGAGTGATCAAATTAAACACTGTCTTGTCCATTTAAAGAATCTTCATGCGTGTAACTTTGTCATTTTAAATGCTGTGAAACTAGGGGCTATTCTATCGCTATTTGAACGTTCATTTTATTCAAAGATATCTGTTTGATCGATAAAATAATATAAAACACTCATAAAAATGAGGTATGATAAATATAGGAGAAACTGTTTATTTTGGAATTGCAAACTAAGGAAAACCTTTTTTCGTTTGAAAGAAACTTGACTCCGCAAAAAAAATTGGTTTCTACCCTAACGAACCTCGCCAACTAGAAAAGATCTCGGAAAGAACTCATGATTGTCCAGAAGAGTAATTTAGTGCGACTAAATATTTCACCCACAAGTGAACCTGAATCCATAACAACCGTTAAATTATCTTTGTTTACCTTATAACTCAACAGTTGAATTATATTAAGATTAACATATTTTTAGCAAATCTGTTTATTCTAAGAATTGCAGTCCGATTAGGTGTATCTGTATTTCGCTTTGGTTAATCTTGTGTACTTGAAAAAATTAGCCTTTGCGATAATCACAAATCAGAAAAGATCGAAAGAACCGAATCAACATTAATAGGGAGCTTTAGCAACGAGAGCGGCAACGGCAACGAGAACAGCAGAAAACAACAGGCTTAATGAGCAAAAACAATCGCCCTGCACGTGCGTTTAACATTTTGGTACATTTCTTTGCCTTTCTCGGCCAAACAAAAACGTGAAATAACCAAATTTTAGGTTTTCTCGAGAACGTGAGCGCATGACGGTTAATTTTTCATTCTTTTTCCTTACTTTAACGCCCTTCGTAGTGATGTAGTCCCTGAATAGTTCGCCAGCATTTTCCAAGTGAAACGCATCGGAATAATCTCGAAAGAGTCACAAAAACGAAAAGTTAGATTTTGACACGACGTTTTCGTTGCCGTTGCCGTCGCCGTCGTCGTTGCTAAAGCTCCCTATTGTCGCAAGGTACAGGGCTAGAACAGTCATTATGTGTAACCAAAAGTTCCCCCCAGCTTAACTTTAAAAGCAACAGCTGATTATATCTTTCACCGCTTCTCTAACGTCTTTGATCCTCCAGCAGTACAGAATCGGGTTCAGAGACGAGCCCAGAAAAATAATTAAGACAATCATTCTAAAAACCTCACCCGACAGTTTTCTTTGTATGAATAGTATACTCGCCACTTAAAATGAAAGATAACAAATAAGTGTAGTTATTTGTATCCATGCTATACTAGATACCATCTCTCAATATCTTGCTATGTTCGGTGGAATCACTCCTCCGTTTGAGAAGTTGTTGGGCTTGTACTTGCCGTTGATGATGGTCGAGAAGGAGGTAGAAAAGTTGATGTAACAGAATACGGAAGTCAGAAGGGAGATTAACATTAAAACCAAGGCTGTAGCTCGGACAGGTCCAGGGTCCCGCGAGATAAATCTCCATGCACCCAAAGCCACACCCAGAAGTCAAAAACAAATTATAATGGTCCAGACTCGGTTTAATGTTACAATATGTCTGTATCTCAGACACAACAACAGCCCAAGAAGTCGATCCGCACTTATTGCTGTTGACGTTAAAGTAGATACTGTTCGCAAAAGTTAAACTCGAACAAGAGGCTAATTGAATTAAGAGGAAAGATATCGAAGATTTGTTTGCTATTCTGCATATGATAAAGGCGATGGCTATGAAAATTTGCGAGTAAAGACCAGTAAAAAAAATCAGAGACTGCGACACATCGAAACCAATGTTTTGTTGGTGGATAAATGGAAGTCACTCTGTGAAGAGCAGTTAAGATAAGAGAATTCCCCAGTAATGCGATGATGGACAATTAAAAAGTTCAGGCATGCAAGAAAAATGGATACGCTCGCTGGTATCGATGACTAGTTTATACATTGTGATTCTTCCGACTTGAAGGCATTATTTTCGTTTCCTGTAGCAATGTTGACCACTAGATATGACGAATTTCAACTAGTACTTAAATTTGCATTTTGAAAGGTGCTATACGCCAAAACGTATTTGACGTGCACGCTGGGTTAGAGTTAGGTTGATATATTTTCCTAAAAGGTAGGGCTTTTTCTAAATGTCATGAAAGTGCCTCTTGCTTAGCCGCTGTCTCTAGTCACGTGATTTCAAGAAAGCACATTCAGTTGACCAATGAGAAACAGTGTACGTAGGAGTGGTGAGAAGAACTATTGATTTTCGCTGCTGTAGATTAAAGTGGTGCACTTCTTTTGGTTCCTTAGTTGATTGCAAACCGATATACTTATCTCAGGAAATAAAATTTTGACAAACACTTTTTGACAGTTTCGTGCCGGTCCTGGGAAGCTTTGCAATCATATCGGAACAAACTGGTGAATCGAATCTCTTCAAAAACAAGACATAAAGGGACATCGCTTTTAATTAATATTATGAAGAGTAAGACTAACATATAACTAACTATAACCATAACAATTTCTGAAATAAAAAAATTGATTCATTTGCGAAAGGGCTTTCGATATCAATTACCCAAAACGCAGTCATTAAAAAACTTTGACAAATGCGAAATGCAAAGTTTTAAGAGGTCCTTTAATAAAAAGGTGAAAAAAGAAAAAAAAAAACACGAAAATCGGCCACTGAAAG